GCAATAGTGGTGGAGGAGTGTTGTTGTGTAGCAAGAGCGACGTGTTCATAGGTGATGACTTGCGCTTGAAGGATCTCTTCATATATTCTCCTGTTTTCGTCTGGTACCCAACTCCAAGCATCCCTACATTGTCACAAACGAAGCTTATGGAGATTTACAGAGTCATCGGCGTGAAAGAGATCTCCAAATGCGTCGAGATCGCTGAAGCTAAGTTAACAGATAGAGTCAAAACCGTGAAGCAAGAGAATAACAATAATCTGATCGGACCTGGCTTAGTGAGGCTAATTCTAGGGTTCCTCTCTGATCCATCTCTCAAGATAGAAGCTGAGGAACGTTCTAGGATCATACATGGCCTTCTTAGCCGCAACGTTGTGCAAACTCCGGAGACGATCTCGACGGAGTATACTCTGAATCTACCGTCTAAGGGAGAGAAGATAATCGCTAAGGCTGAGAGGATGATAAGGTGGGAGAGAGAGAAAGGAGTGCTTTATGCAGAGAAGATGAAGAAACGTTGTGGTCAAAGAAAGGTTATAGAGAACGCCACGTGTTTCGCTGAGGTGATTGCTAAAGGAGTGATGTGGGAGAGAGAGGATCTGATTGGACAGTTATCAGAGCTTGTGAAGATGGCTTACTTGTTGAAGTTCGATGAAAAGGCTTTAGAGTTTCTTATGAAATCCAAAAACCTTCAGGTCTATGAAGAAGACGAGAAACTCATCTCAGATGCCTTCTCTCTCAAGTAACCTAATCCCAAGTAACAACGAAGACATATATTTTGATATTCTGCATCTTTGTAACCCTCACGACTCTTCTGAAGTTACAATTTGAAGTATTTTTTCTTACCAGCAATTAAGAAGCTTTTGATCCATTAAACACATACTTTACACAAACTCGTTACAATGTAGTGAATAAACAAACAAACCTGAATGAATCACAATCTTTTTATCATTTTCCATTTTTTTCTCCATATATTGTAATTGGCTTAAACCGGAGACTACAACCGTCCTATACCAGTTCCGGTCCTGCTTCTACATGTTGCTGCAGCATCAGATATCTCAACGTGTAAATCTCTGGAAGCATCATTCTCTGAAGACACTGAGCTATCCTCGCCGACTCTTTTCGACAAAGACTCCTCTCTGCTTCGCAAATCTTCATTCACACGGCTTGAGAACTCCCAGCTCCCTCCTCTTCTTCCCCTGCTCGACTCTCTCGAATGCATAATCCCTCGTCCTTCGGTTTCTTCCGGTGGCAGCATTCTGCTCAGATCACGCGACGTCACCGATGATTCCAAGTCCTTGTCCATGTCGCCGAGCTCTTCATCTACTGTCTCGTGCCACACCGGTTTCCTCCCCATCTCTATGTCGTTGGAAACTTTCTGTAGGCTCGGGCTCGACATCCCTCCGTTTACTGTCCTTGGCGGGATCGCTGGCTCCTTTGAAACCTTTGCTCTGAAACTGTTCTGAGATACGGCCACGCTTGTGCAGAACACTTCCATGAAGTTCCCCACTATCCCTTTGTTGAAGGGGTTCTCGTGTCTATCATATCGATACCTAAAGTTCTCATATGTTGACTGCCAAAAACATCACAACATATAACACAAAACCGATGTTAGAATCAGCTAAATTACACACTGTTGGTTTCATGGAATGTGATATGATTTTACCTGATTGGTACTCATTAGGTACAAATGGAAACCGGTGAGCCCACCAACGAACCAGACACAGATGAAAGTGTAGAGTATTAACGCAATGGAAGCAGGAGTCTTGATTAACGACTTCCAGATGTTTATCTTCTCACCGTCCATTATGCGCTTGACGTAGATCCAGCAAAACACATGGACATAAATGCAGAGAAGAGCCGAGCACAGCACAAACATGAAGTAGAACCTGTAGTTTCTCTGTATCCACAAAAAACGCAAGTTACACTCAAATATTCACAACAGTCAATAAGAAAAGATGAAAAAAAAGAGTGAACAATCAAGACTTTTGTGAGCCATTACCAATCCAATGCACTGACCAAGCCAAGGACAGTGATGATCAAACTTCTCGACGCAGTTGTTGCATATGGAGCAATGAGAAGCACGAGGTGGTCTGTAAAGCATGCAAGTGTCACAGTATTTGATCTTCACAGTGATTCCATTCACAACCATATCCTTTGTCCGAGGCAGTCGACTCTGAGGAGTATGAGCAAGACGTGGTTCTCCATTGCTTTCATTACCCTCTGGTTCAGGAGGATACAGATTGCGTGGTATGATCCCCGGGTCTCTCCCCGAGGTTAGAAGAAGAAATATCAGATCCTGTGTAGAACACACAAAGATTGAAAATTTATCATCAAGAAGCCAAAGCAAGAAGATGCAGAAGCAGAATCAGAAGAAAGAGGAACTCACTAATACATTCAGACCAACAGCGACGGCTAATATTGACACTCCTCTATGGTGAGGGAAGTCATCGAAGAATTTGTGTCCAACGAAAACACAGAAGACAACGACAGGAGCTGTGATCAAGAAGATGGTGATCAGAATAGAGCGAGCATCGGGTCCAAACACGAGCCTTCCTCCACAGAAGAACACCTGGAGAAGATCAAGAACAAACTCAACATCAGTCAAATATCGGCAGAGATAAGCTAGGTACATACATAGCCAAGGCAGTTGAATTAACATCTCTTGTAACTAAGTAATCACATTTCTAGACAAATCTTTTACTGATGAACATCCAAAAGCTCAAACTTTTGTAAAAGACCAACATTCACAAACTATGTAGACCAAATCTCATTATCCACAGAACTGTAGAACCTCAAGACAATTACATGAGGAACTGATTAGGAGACCAAAACCAAGACAGGTAAAGCTGAATCATAGACGTTTCTCAAATGGTTTCTTGCAAGTGTTTTTCTCTAATTCTCTCAGGGAAAGCACAAATCTTGCAACATGTAAACTAGTTTTAACGATGGAGCAAGAAGGATTTGATAATTTACAAAATCAAATTCCAAGTTGAGAAAGAGAATAAGCAAAACCCCCAAAAACTAAAGCTGCAAAAAACAACTTCCTAAAATCAAAATTAGGGCATAGAAGAAGTCAACTTATTAGTCCTAAGCTTCTGAAGAATAAACCCAGAAGAAAACACCGAGAAATGTATAATTCCACCAAAGGTCTGAGGATTTCGATTCAGATCTTACTTCAAAGACCTTAAATCTAACCCAGAAAACAAAAATCATAAGAGAGAGAGAGAGAGAGAGAGAGAGAGAGCTCACGTTATTCCCTTTCCACCCTTTATAGGTTCTGATCAGCTCATCTCCGCCACCGCCGCCGTTAGGACCCGGAGGTCCGGGACGACGATCTGACGGCTGCAAATCTAACATCAGAAGACCAGACCCAAAAGAATCGCGTTTTGCTTACAAATCTTTGAGCAATAAATTTGATAAAAATGGAGAGAGAGATTAGGAAGAAAATAAAAATTATTTTTCAGGAAATGGTATTATTGACTTGGGGGACAGAGAATTATGTTTTTTTCTCCGGCTACTTGGCGTTGGCCCCCTTAAGCCACCTTTCCCAATTTACTAGTCAACTAATGTCAATTAAAACATTCCAATTAATGGTGTTTATGGTATATTAACCGTGTGTTAATGGTCTAATAAACCGACGACGCCTTCATAAATATAAAATTCTGATAGTAACGTATATCCACTATAAACAAACCTTCAAAACAAAAGTGAAAATAATTTTTCTTTTTTATTAATAATTTCTTGGAGAGAAAATACTACAAATTATTTACAGAAAAAAAAAAAGAACAACAGTCTTATTTGTACCATTTTATAGTATGCTTGGAAAATAAATTGTACTTGATCCACTTAACTATGATCACTTTCTCCTCCTAAATTTAGTTGGGGAAACAAAATTATTCCAATTAACCAAGATATATCTCTAAACTCTAAAGAGTCGATTTACAAACGTGTCCATTTTGTAATTGATGATTGATTGATATCACGACTATTTCAACATTTAGATGGTCATCAGATTAATGTTCTGTCTTCTTTTCATTTAATTTATATTTTCTGTTATTTTGATTAATTTGAATTCAGACCAACCGTAAAATGTAATGTATAATCCTAATAATCCAATACGTGTTGAACATTTCTCGTCAAGTTTAGTCTCATCTGATGATTTGTTTGAACCTCTTCTCGTTAAAGAGAAAAATTATCCTTTTTATATTTAATTATTTATATATATCCAGTGGACTCTATATAAGTAGTACTAATAAAATCCTAGTTAAGCTATCAGATTTCATTTAGGTCTTGTAATTTTTGTTGTTAAGTTATTAAGGTTCACAATACGTGATAATATCATGCACAGTACATCGATGATGATTTTTTTTTGTTTTTCACGAGCAGTTGTGAAAAAAAAAGTTGTTGGAAATTTCTCTTTTGAACAAATAGGGAGCCACAAAAATACAATACTTCAACTACAGACAACCCACTTCCTCTGTATTTTTCTGGTCTCACGTTGGTCATAGGCTTTTCATTAGTCGGCCTACCCGAAAACAAAAATCTTTAATATTTTAAGTTTCTGAAGTTTTTCTTTTAGGTGATACTAAGCTTTTTAGACTAAATTAAACGTATATGAATTTATTAATGTGATTATAATCTGCAAGTAACAGAAACTTACAGTTTAAACATTATAGCATAAAGGAATTTAGAAAAGTGTTGATTCAAATTAATGATACAGATAAAGCGACACAATATGATATTTTGCAAAATAAAAACCATATAGGGGAATATTGTTCCTGGTAAAAAAGATACAAGAAAATGATCTCAAAAGCTTAGGGAAGAAACAAAAAAAAGCACACTCGAAATCTTCATTTTGTTCGTTCTTCAAGAATAAGTAGGGAAAAAAAACTCGAAAGAAAGAATAAACAAAAGCCATTAATGTTGCTCTTCATTTCCTTGGGATCACGATTGAAAGATAATTATATATAGAATGAAGGAGATTACTGGTTTTCTAGCCTTTACTAAGGCATGACGCCAAGATCCTTGAAGTAATCATGCTCCAAGGCTGCTCTTGCGTTGATTCTTTTGGTTGGATCCATCAACAGCATTTTCTGCAACAAATTAAACAGAGACATATTAATCATCTTTACCCTCAAAACCTTGAGATAAACATCCGCAAGTTCAGTTTGCTTTTTCCTTTTTCGTTTAGGAATTTTCAAGAATCCTGGTTATTGAAGATTGTTCATGTTTCAGACTAGTTTGATTTGGGTTTACATGAACACTGTTGAAGATACAAAATTAAGCATCCAGGTCTCTAATGTAGCAGAAGTAGAATATAAAGATGCGACTGTGTGTGTGTGTATTTAGTCAGCGAACTTACTGAAAGGAGATCTACACCATCGGGATCCAGATTCGGGACAAAAGATTCTAAGTCCTGTGGTATAAGAAAAAAAACATAAGCAAGAACAATATTGTGATATGTGCTCTTGTTTACTGAAATAGAGATGTGGAGGTGAAAAAAGAAATTATGAAGTACCGTTGGTTTCCATTTAGGGAAAGCAGATTTGTAATCTGGCAGCGAAGTTACACCGGGCCATGTATCCTCGTATGGAGTTCCCATGATTCTGGAAGGAGACAAAAAAACACATGGCAGCCATATATTATAATCACATAGCACTTCAATATCTATGTACATTACTAGTTCTCCAGAAAATTAGATTTCACGTTAAGAATAGTTTGGTGATATCATTTCGCAAACAAGTTCTTTCTACTTGTGATATATAGAAGAAATTTGGATCGAGGAAATTACTGATGAAACCTGAAAATCTTGAAGAGTTGATCGATCTCGGAGTCTCCAGGAAACAAGGGCTTTTGGCTGATCATCTCAGCAAATATGCATCCGACGGACCAAATATCAACTGGTGTAGAGTAATGATGAGATCCTAGTAGTATCTCTGGTGCTCTGTACCAGAGAGTAACCACCTACAAGGAACAAAATGCAAAACCTGTAAATAACCATTAAGAGATGTGAAATCTGAATGTACCACTGAATTTTTTTGTGGTATTTTGAATCTAAGTTAGTCCTCTAAGTAAAGACTTTGCAATCCATCTGAAATGTCTAAGTCCTTTATTTACATTTATCAGATGCAAAATCGGATACTACTTTAAGTTGTTCTGTACTCTTTCTCTCATAAACAAAGGATATAAAAATGGAGCAAATATGAAGCCTCGTGATAAAACTCGTCACAGAAACATAAGACCAAAAAAAAATATTGTTTGGCACCTCATGAGTAAATGTCCTGACAGGGATACCGAATGCTCTGGCCAGACCAAAATCTGCAAGCTTTAGTGAGTTCGAGCGGCGATCAATCAGCAAATTCTGTGGCTTTAGATCACGATGGAGAACCCTGTGAGAGTGGCAATACGCAATTCCACGGAGAATCTGGTAGAGATATGCCTGCAAACAGTGGATGTATAGCTCTCATCAGCGTGTGTTAAGTACTAAAAACGAATCAGGCAGAAGTTTATGTCATCATGACCAATAAAAACTCAATAAGACGGTATTGGTTTGTCAATACAATAAGTGTCTGCACATAGATAAAACAATGCCTAAAGTTTCTTAGCACTCACTTTGATCGTATGTAGATCCTTTGAGAAATCAGGAGTTGAGTCCATGTGCTTTTTGAGATCCAAGTCAAGATACTCAAAAACCAGATACAAACGCTTCTCGCTGTGCACTACATCCTGTAACCTGTGCACAGCCAAACAAAATCAACCAAAAAGTGTTAAACCAGATTCATGCTTCTATTAGATTTCGACGGTATTTGGTATTAACTTCATACTTGACAATGTTGCTGTGCTGCATTTCTTTCAAGAGAGAGATTTCTCTAATTGCAGTGCTAGGCACACCTTCATCCTCCTGCTCCAGCCGTATCTTCTTCAAAGCTATAGTCTCATTGGTCACTTTGTCTCGTGCCTTATAAACCACACCGTATGTTCCTTCACCAATCTTCTCAACTTTCTCGTACTGCACAAGTAGTATGAGCATATTAACCAGAGACTTGTAAAAACAGTAAACCAGTGACTATGAACGAATTGGAACAATTATTTCACAAACCTGATCCATCAATTCCAGAATTCACAAGCTGAAGCAAATCCGCACTTGTAAATCTGAATGTCACAGCAACGAATACGTGGTAACTTCACCTGCGGAATGATAATGACGCATCGCAGCTCAAATTAGTTAAGCTATCCACGCACATTGCAGAGCTAATCTGAGAAATCAATCTCAAAATTGAAGTAAAATCTGTACACAACGACGCAATGAAATTAACAGAAGTTTCAGATCCGGACTACGTTACTAATCGAGTGTGATTATACAGGGAACAAAGCAAAAACACAAAAATAAACTGTAATTCGATTATTTGAACAGATTGCGAAAATGAAGAACTGAAAATAAATCGATAAACGGAAATGATATGAACAAATCAGAAACGTTGAACAAAATCCAGAGCAGGGAACACATACACGACGACGGAATGCCAAAAAAACTAGTCTAAATCTAGTGAAACACTAAGAAACGCCACTGAAAATACTAAATGGGGGAAAACAAGTCGAGATCAGCATCGAATCACAGAGAAAAAGGAAGATGAAGAGAAAAATAAGAGAAAGCGGTTGGAATTGTAAACAGTTTAAAGCAGAATTCGAACGGAAGAGCAGTTCCTCCTCCGGTCAAATAATTCATCGGAGAGTTAACGAAATCATCTTACCGGCGACGATCGGATGTAGTGTGAGTGACTAGCACACCGACGGATCCTCTCTCTATCTCTCTCTCTTTGTGGAAAAGGCAGTAGAGAGATACGGTGGTTTCTGTGCAGCTTGAAGAGACTAGGGAAGGCGATTGACTAATAGAGTAAGGGTTTTTTTCATTTTCTATTTTGTGTTTTCTTTTTCGTGTGTGGGGAAAATTATGTTCGTTATAATTCTTTTTAATCTCCACTAAATTGGATTACCTAACCGCATTAACTCGGGTATGAATTGTATCCCTTTATACCCACACAAACAGTAAAATGTCTCTTGCATATTTACAGTTTTACATAATACAAGAAAAAGGCTTGCTTCAAAGTCTAGAAATGTTTGGGTATAAAGATTTATTTCAGTCTAGAACAAAAAACCAAAAAATAATTTAACAGGAAAAAAAAAAATTTGCAATAGATTAATCCCAAAACAGAATTAGTATGCAATTTGCAAATGGATTAATATGTTTTATATGTGGTAACTATTCAAAATCTAAGTAATATACGACTTAGATCATCAAGAAAATAGCAGAAAACTAAACTCATTGTGATTATGGATGGAAGAATTGCAATACTAGGATAATTAAATTACTTGATTCTAACATCTGCTTCATATTGATAAAGTTTGCACCAACCCCAGGATAAATGGACAATGATATGAAAGTTCTTTTTATTACTTTATCTCAATGAACAACTCAATATATTTAATGTCTTCTGAAAAGTCTTTGCACCAATAATCAAGCCAAAGATAAAACAACAAAATGAAAACCAATTTGTTTACATGTTGTAATAAGAGACAATAGTCTTATTCATTTGAATTGATCAATGCTAATTTAGTATCTAAAATTAGCAGTGTTTTTTTTTTTTTTTAATCTATGTAAAATTAGCAGTGTTAACATTTATACTGATCTGATGCTAATACGCTATATACATACTAGTATCACGTTCCAACGATCAGAATGATATTTCACAAGCCAATCCTTTTCAGCACCCAAATTTTCATTTATATTGCAACACACCGTAAACGTTTCACTTTCACCTATTTAGCCAAAGTTAAAGAACTAAAGCTTAAATACTACCACGGTCCAAACTCCAAAATCCAGTCTTTCCCTAAACTTCCGCGAAGACTATAGAACACCTATATCTTTTGCAAATACCAAAGACAAACCCCAAACTTCATATACTGAAAAAGTAACCCAAAATTTAAAGAATGTCAAAAGTAAACCCATCTCGTGATCTGTCAACCTCCACATATTAAAGTTTACAGTAACCAAATATTTAGTTGGTGAGAAACCGAGAAATGATCTAAAAGGTGAGATGCATAAACAGATGAGCTTGGGATAAAAGAAAGGAGGGAAAACAAAAGCTTGGCCCATTAGGTGTCTGTCATTTTTATTTCAGTCAATCGTAATCAATTCTTAACAAACTAAAGGCCCAAAAACAAACAATATATATCTAAAAATAGTAATAATTTAAAAAGGTCCTACCGGGAGTCGAACCCAGGTCGCTGGATTCAAAGTCCAGAGTGCTAACCACTACACCATAGAACCGAGCGATGTTTAGGCAGAAGTTTATTTAAATGATATCATTTTGCGTAGTGTTTGAAATTTCTACCGAGTTCCAGTATGTATGTATTTATAACGAAATCTCATTTACTATAGTTTTGTAGCGTTTGTCATACTTTTGAAGACGCAAGTCATAAAAATATTTTGGTTTTGTACATAAATGTAAAATTTTCTCATGCCATATTATATATACTAGTAGAATACCTGCACGTTTGTGCGGTGTGATGTTGTGGTTTTGTGTAGAAAATTTAAACCCTAAATCCGAACCCGACCAAAAACCCTAATCAAAAAATTTAAAAACCCAAACTTTTTTAATATGTCTAAACCAAAATCCGAAATCAAAAAAATCCCGAAAACCCTGAACTGAACAAAAAAAATCTGGAAACTTTTTCACCCGGAACCCGACCCAAATACCCTAATCAAAATTTTAAAATACTCAACTTTTTTAATATATCTAAACCCGAAAACCAAATCCAAAAAATCCGGAAAACCCTAAACTGAAAAAAAAAAACTCGAACCCAACCCGAACAAAATTTTCAAAGAAACCCGAACAATTTCTATATCTCTATAAAATTAGGTCTCAGATTTTCACCCAAACCCGAACTTGTCTATAAAAACCCGAAAATCCAAAAAGCATATTCTATTGATTTGGATATTATCGTTAGATTATGTTAAGTTTTTTTTTTTGCAGATTTTTAAGAGCTGGAAAACGGAAGTTTTCTAAACCATCGGTTTGTTTTAAGTTATTATTCTTGTATCCAAACAATTTTTTCCATTTATTCTTCTATCCAAATAGTTTTTTCTCTTATTCTTGTATCCAAACATTACAATGTACTAAATGACCCTTATTAAATTTGTTGCCAAACACTTTCTCTTCATAATTAGATTGATTTTTTGTTCATAAATTTTCAATGTACTTTTCAATTAATAATATAAAGATACACACATATTTTCGAAAATAACTCAAAAAGAAAACTCTACTCAAAAAGGGAAAAGCCAAATGAAATAAAGGAAAAGATGTCGATATTTCCTCTCTAGTTGCCAAGTAATCCCCTATGCACTGGGATCCTTATTAGCACCTAAAAAGAGACCCTCCTTCGTAAAAGAGGATTCAATCTCTTTCAAATAATTCAATACAGTGTGAAGTTCTTAGTATGAAAAATGAGCAAAAACCAACAAAGAGGGAAATCATATACTAATTGTTTTTTTGGTTTATCATATACTAATTTTGTTTCCAACAATATTTCATCTTAGATGATGTGAATTACATTAATCCGTTTATATATGCATAAAACTCTTAAAATTGACTATTATTTTACTTCTCTTTAATTCTTAGGATTATTCACTATCACACATTTAATTTCACATTAGAAACTTAACTAATCGTTGGAAAAACTATCAAAACGCGATAAACGCACCGGGTGTTTATTTTCCTCTCTAAGAGCTAGTGTTACGACTTACGAGTACATAAACCTTCGTTACATAAGTCTATACACGGATACGTACACCTAAAATGCATGTGGTATCGTAATGCTTTCAAAAGATAACTCTTGATTAAAATATCAATGTTCACGTAAATTTCATATATTATATATGTTATGATTATGTTTAGGAGATAAACTCAATAGCATAATAAGCAAAAGAAAAGGGTAAAGGAGGGACAAAAACTGGTGCACCGAAGGTCCGAAGCTGCCAGGCCAACTGTACACAAGACAAAAATTATTTTAAACGTTTTCCCTTAATGGAGGACGAGTGTATTTATAAAAAAAAAATAGAACTTCATATTCAATAAATTTTCCTCACCATTACCAGCAATACGATATTTGGATAATGCGTAGATATGTATTAGGTGTAATATGGTTGTCCATCATTTAAATTGTGCAGATAACATAATAAAATGCTAAAATAATATTAAATGTTTATTTCACTCTAAATATTTGAAAAGAACTACGTTAATCATCTACATTTCTAATTTTGAAGATTAACTTACACAATTATCTCATATAATTATTCAGTGTTTATATACACACCCAAAAAAGAATAGATTTGAAAATCAGAAAAGAAGAGTAATCAAACAAGTATGCAACTACTCAAGTTGCCAAGTGTAATATCCTAATTTGAGGAAGACAAAAGAAACGCCATATAAAAATTTCTTTTATTGTAGAACAAGAAACAAAATAACTAAAAAAGGAAAAGGAGGGGAAAAAATGAATGGAAAGAAAAATAAAAAGTTGTGACGATATTATCTTGTTCTTTTTCAAGAAGAGTGGAATGTTCACTCATAGAAAGGCTAAAAAAAGGCTTCAATAATTAATCTATCATGCGAACAAATATACGAAGGAAAACAACCCAACTTGGTACGTTATACATGTAAAGTCTTTATCCCCCACAAAAATAATCAAAAAATCTGTTAACAAATTTAATTTAGCTTTTGCTAAGAAATCATATTTCAGTCAAATAATTCATTTGAAAACTGGATCGAATATCAAATGAGTCACGAGTCTAGGTCGGTTTATACAATCATAAATGATTATGATTCGATTTCTATTGTGCAAACTGAAGCAGCCCCATATTTTCGTGTGGGGTGAAAAGGAAAATATATAAACGAGTAGCAAGCAAAAGAAGCCAAAAGCCTATTTTGTCCATTATTTTTGAGTTTAACTTAACACAACTGTGTATTAAACTATCTAATTCCTTAAAATGGTTTCTATTTTTTTTTTTTTTTTTACAATGTACTTATATTGAAATTAGCTAGGGATCAGTCG